TCCACGGCCCGGCTGGGGCAGGAAGGGGGACCCCAGGGCCCGGGGCCCCCAGCCAGCCCCGGCTTGCCCGGCTCTTCCCCCCCAGAATTGGGGAGCCCACACTCCAGCCCCTCTCACTGCCCCCTGGCAAAATCTACCAGCCTGGGGCCCCCCGGCTCTGGTGTGCGAGGGAAATGGGGGGAAAGTCTTTCCCCTTCTCAGTCAGGGGCCACGTTTTCTGTGTGTAACCCCCCGACTGATTTTTGGGTGGGTCAGCAGCCCTGTCCCAAAAAAGGTTCCCCAGCCCTGATCTAAACTATCCCTGATAGATCGTCCCTGACAGGTGTCTGTCTAACCTGCTCGTAAATATCTCCAGAGGCGGAGATTCCACAATCCCCCAGGCAATTTATTCCAGTCTTTAACCCCCCTGGCAGGCAGGAAGTTTTTCTGAAGGCCGACCTAAATCTGTCCTGCTGCAGTTTAAGCCCATTGCTTCTTGTCCGATCCTCAGAGGCCAAGGAGAACAATTTTTCTCCCTCCTCCCTGTGACACCCTTTTAGACACTCAAAACCCGCTCTCATGTCCCCTCTCAGTCTGCTCCTTTCCACACTAAACAAGTCCAGTTCCTTCAGTCTTCTTGCACTGCTCATGTTCTCTAGACCTTTCATCATTTATTGCTCTTCTCTGGACCTTCTCCAATTTCTCCACATCTTTCCTGAAATGTGGTGCCCAGAACTGCATACACAACTCCTGTTGAGGACTGATCGGCACAGAGTAGAGCAGAAGAACGACTTCTCCTGTTAGAGTACAACGGGAGAATGACGTCTCGTGTCTTGCTCACCGCACTCCTGTTAATACAGCCCACAATCAGGTTTGCTTTTTTGGCAACAGTGTCGCACTGTTGACTCATGTTTATCTTGTGGTCCACTCTGACCCCCAGATCCCTTTGTGCCGGATTCCTTCCTAGACCATCACTTGCCCATTCTGTGTGTGTGAAACTGATTGTTCCTTCTTAAGCAGGGCACTTTGCATTTGTCCTTGTTGAATTTCATCCTATTTGCCTCGCACCATTTCTCCAGTTTGTCCAGACTCTTTCTGCCATTATCTAAATCACCGATAAAGACACTGAACTGATCCGGCAGTAGCTTAAACCCCCAGTGACTGCTCGGGAGAAGCCACCCCCCAAAGGGCCAGTGCCCACTGGCGTTCCCCCAAACCCACCGCGGAGGCGGCTGGGACGAGGCAGGGCAGGGAGCAGGGTAGCCGTGCTGTGCCGGATTGTCTGCTAGTGCAGGACCTCGCGCCAAAGCTGCAGGCTGCTCCCGTCAACCCAAACTTTAAGGGCCTGGGGGGCTGTGATTGGCCCCGTCAGACCCTCTCTCTGCTGTCCCGGGAGCGTCACTGAATTGCTCCCTGCAATCGGGGTCACAACCCTCCTTTACTGCCCCCCCCGGTGAATCCTGCCCCTGCCAAGCGCTCCGAGGCAGGGCCGGTCCATCTCCCTGCGCAGCGCCTGGCACAACGTAATGTACATAATAAAACCATCCTGCAACGGGGACGCTGCCGCCACCGAGGAGACATCCTAGTCCCCCCTCGTGGGGAAAGGCTCCGAGAGACACAGACAGGAAAGGAAACGCCCCTCGGCCCCCCAGCCACACTGTCCTGCTGCAGCAGGGGACGTTGCTGGCAGGAGTCCCCCCACCGGATGGTCTGGCGCCGGGCAGGGGAGGGCAGCTCCGCGGAGGCTGGTGCAGAGACACTTCCCGTCAGCCGGGGGATTGTAAATGTGGGACATGGAAGACCGTGTGTGCGCCCAGGGATCTGGAAGGCCGTAACGGCGGGAGCCCTCCCCTGCGAGGCTGTCCCCTCCCAACCGCCTGCGGGCGTGTGTCCTTAGCAGCCGGGACAGCCCACTAGGATGCCCTCATTGTGGCATCTGGGCTGCAGGAGATCTTGGGCAGGAAGAGCTAGGGTAGGATCTGCCCATCCAGCTGTCCCTGGCACTGGTTGGAGAGGGAAACGGGGGTGCTTGGCCAGGTGTCAAGTTCTAGCAGGAGGGGGTGACCTGATGGAAAAGGTCTTGGGGGGGTGCCCCAGAGGTGGTGGGCGGGAGGCAACGTTCCCGCTAACTTTTTTCATCCACATGCAGAATAAATTTTATGTGCACCAGGCATGTGCGGGTGTGCACCACCGGTAGACAGACACGCTGCTGGCTGGGGGTGCTCTGCCAATCAGCTGGGGGGCCCTGCCTCTCCCGGGGGGGCTGCCAGGAGGGAGGTTGAGGGGAGGGAGGAGCAGAGAGCAAGGCCACTGATTAGCCATAAGCAGGCTTTTGCCCCCCAAAAAGCCAATCTGTCGAAACCAAAACTATTCCCGAAACTGGGTTGGGCGCAACGAACCACCCGACCGGGAAACCTTTGGTAAAAGAGATCAGAGACTCTGGAACGGGAACGTTCCCGTTTGCTGTCAAAACGACTCGTTCGGTAGCAACATCAGCCCACGAACACGACAACAGGAAGGGGGAGGGCTGAGCAGGGCACAACGTAACCTTTACACCGGCCTGGACAGGGGAAAATGGATCTTTAGTTCTTGCCCATGTTTGACATTTTTCCCACAATTTGGGACGGGCACATTTTTCAGACAGCTGGAAATTCTCCCCCTCCTCCCTGACGAGCCTCCAGCCGCAGCTGCCACTTGTGCGCCAGCATCTCGGCT